GATGGTAAGATGTAGACTTTGCCTTTCATTACTCAATTTCTGAAGCCCAAGAGGGGGTTTAAAATTGTACACGTTCCTCTGGTGTTTTATCCCTCTGTAGTTTTCCACCAGAGGTACCCGTGCTTCCCACCAGCTGGGCTCCAATCCATCCCATCTCAACATTGCTGTACTTACGGCACTGAGATTCCTCCTGCAGCGAGAAGCTGGGGCCTGGTGAGCTGCTCCAGTAACCCCAAACCCCATTACTCATTACACATCCCCCAGCCCCTGTGGAATTGAGTCATTGTATAGGAAAGGAGGTTTTGAACAATGGTGAGAACTGTTTGCTGTCAACGTGCCCGGTCCACATCTCTTTGTAGCCAGGACCCTCGAGCTGTCATCTCATTCTGGAGTAGGATCTGGAATGTAACCACTGCTGCATTTAGAGCCCGTGGAGGCCATTGTGAGGGTGGCTGCTGGGCAGGGGAGCTGAGCTCTGTAGGGGATGGAGCGGCCGCCAAGTTGTGTTTTAAGACAAAGGAGAAAAACAAGCAGGCCCTGAGCTTGCATGGATACTGAGTTGCTCTGCCCACTGTGTGCCTGTCGGGTGTTCGCGTTGCTCTGGTGGGGCTGCAGCTGGGCTGGGTGGAAAAAGAGGTTTTGTTGAGCAAACAACGAAACCCTCCCAACAAGCAGACTCAGGGCCAGCTGCTTGCATACTGGGTCCCTGAAGTTCAGTGGGATGGCTAAAAAATGAAGTGCTGTGACAATTCCTTATTCAGGTTCATGTGTTTGCTTCCAGGAGCACAAAGAGGAATCTGCTGGGTAGAGAGAGAGCTGTGGGAGGGAAGTTGAAGCTGCAGAAGTGAGCTGAAAGTGACAGTTTTTAGACAGTTGAGCAGTCCATGGGCACTTGGTGACCTCAGCGAGATCTCTAGCTCATCTGAACTCATTTGTGTTGAGAGTCAGTGGCCCTTGATGTATTTGCAAGTCCTGCCGAGATCAGCAGGACAGATAAACCCATGGTGGGGATGCTTTGAACACAGTGTAGTCAACAAAGGGCTCAGTATCGGGGACAACAGGAAATGTTGGTTTGGTTTTGGCCATTAAAGGCAGCTTCAATGAAGGTGGTGAGCTGGGCCAGACGCGATGTCCATCCGTGCGTCAGCTGTGGTTTGTGCACACCTATTGCAGGAGCACCTCTGTGTAACACTACAGCTCCATCTCAGACAGCACTGTGCTCAGCACATCTCTGATATTCCTTACCATTCCTCTCCCTTTTAGTGTGTGCTTTGGTTCATCTTTGTGGCACTGAACATCTGTGACATCAAACGTCGGTGAAAGGCATTTTCTCATCATTTGCAATAGAAGAAGAAATGTATTTTCAGCATTTTTCTTCTGAGCATTAAAGCGCTGTTATAATTAAAGCAGCAGAAGAAGCTGGAGAGACAGAACTGCACGCTGCAACCTCCCCTTGCAGGCATCGCTTGCTCTCAGCCTTAGAAAATCATAGAAAATCATTTTGGAAGGCAGCTCCATCTTCTAAGCAAGAACAGTAGCTGCTCCTGGGCACATAGGAAGAGGTTTTACCCTTGTATGTAGAACACACTTGGGTTATTGTATACTCAACTCTGAGGCAGGGCATGCTGGAAAAATCTGCCTGATATGTACAGCCAGAAAAAATAAAAGCTTTGTCCCTGTGTGCAGGATAATGATCCTGGTAATTCCTTTCAGTTGCCTGTGATTGATCGATCAGTGCACGTGGGCTTAGGTAAACAAAGGCTGAACATGTTGCCCAGAGAAGTGGTGGGTGCTCTGTCCCTGCAGACACCCAAGGTCAGGCTGGACGGGGCTCTGGGCACCTAATGGAGCTGTGGAGCTCTGCTCTTTGCAGGGGAGGTTGGACCAGATGGCCTTTAAGAGCTCCTTCAACTCGAACGGTTATATTCTGTGACTCTAAAGACCTGGAGTGATGCTTAGAGGCTTGTAAAAGCTCTGTGGGTGCCAAAGCTTTGATGAAGCAGGAGCACGAGAGGTCTTTGGCTATGGCCAATGAAAGGGCATTGTCTATGGCCTCATGCACTGCAGGTGACTGCTCAGCCCAGTCCCAAAGCATTAGTGCAGAGTGCTCCTCCAGTGCCCATTAGTCCTGGGGATGCCATCAGGTGCTGCAGTGAGACATCATTTCCGTAGGTAGTTGAATGCTGTTGACCACTGCGTGCTGCACAACTTCCACATCATGGAATCGTTTGAGTTGGAAGGGACCCTTAGAGGTCATCTGGTCTGACCCCCCTTCAATGAACACCTAGAGTCAGGGGGGGGGATGCTGGCTGCCAGGAGGTGACGCAGGCTCTCTCTGCTCCTTTCCAAGAAGAACAACAACAATAACCTCCAGCCTTCAGCTCGGTGGGCTGCCCACACAGTGCCTTGCAGCAGGGCCACAGGGCACTGGGACACAGCCCCCGCACTGGGAGTGCTGACAGCAGGAAGCACATTGTAAACTCGGAGCACTGAACGTGAGAATGGAAATAAACTGTGAAACGCCGCTCTCATGAGCTTGCTGGAAAGAGCATTAATGCTGGTAATGAATAGTTCTTAAATATGTTGGAGGTGGAGGGCGTAAATTGAGTGCAGGCAAAGCTTTCAGAACTGTAGTGAAAACCATCAGCACATGCAATTCAATCTTATTTCCCATTTCATTTCCATGTTCCATAAGCAGGCGCAGGCTTCGGGCCATTGGCTCCCAGTGGCCCAGGAGGAGCTTCATCCTCAGCCCATCACGTCCCTCCCACAGGCAGCAGCCAGCAGCACAATGTGACACACCACCGAGCTCAGCTCCAGCTTTGCTGCTGGGTAAGGAGCTGACAGGCTTCTCTTCTCTGCTCCTGCCAAAAAGAAGCTCTCTGTGTGGGCGTCCTGGCGGTCCAGCACTAGGAGAAGCTATTCTGAGCAAAGAAAACTGGGGAGGAAAAGACGAATGAAGCCCTAAATGGCACGCCAGTTAGGTATTTACAGTTGGAGCAATGTCAGGACTGAATTCCTTGAAATGCAATCACAGCACATGTGGGATTTGCATGTTTCATTAAGAAACAGTAATGACGCAGCTTCAAAGGCAGCCTAATAGTGGAAACTCTTCCATGAAATATTCTGACCCAGACACCTCCGCCCTCAAAACAAAGGTGCAGCACAGCACAGCACCTCGGTGCCTCAGTTCCAGCCGAGCTAAATTGTCCTGGTGAAGCCATGCAGCTGCTGCCGAGGTCAAACTTATGGGGTGATGGGGGCTGTACCCAGCTCTAGTGGGGGATGACGCCTTCATCTCACTCATTTGAGTTACAAAAGGGTTTTTCTTGGTGTCTCTCCCTTTTGTATCCAGCGTGTTTGTCAATTTGTATGTTATAACAGCAGTTTGTAAATGGTGGTTGGGGGGTATTTTTCACTGAGATCCACTTCCAAGCTGAATGGACTTTGAGTTTGTTGTAGAACAGCCACACTTAGCAAAGAACTGCGTTTTCCACAGCGAGCTGCAAAAAGAAATGTGACAGTGGTGCCTCCCAAAAATGCTGATCTATACTGTTCCTTAAATAACCATACAAGCAATAACATCCTCTGATTAGTTAAACAAAAACACATTTAATGTAAAGATTTTATCTGGCTGCAAATTAAATACTTCATTATTGTAATACCACCCAACAAGAGCTAACAAGAACCGTTTCTCTGGGAAACGAAACTGCAGATGTAAAAGAACATTAAAGAAATTATTTAAATCAATCTGTTCCCTTGGAGCGTTTCATTATTTTGAGTTACAGATGTGGAAGTCCTCCATGTGGAGGATGGGCGATAGGAGGGCTTTGCTGGTCCACCAGCAGGGTCCCACTTCCACCCATCACTTCCAAGCACAGAATTCCCATGTACTACATGAGCTTGCCCAGTTTATTTTGGGCACCTATGACAAAACTCTTGAATTTTCATGTGACGTAAGCACACATATGAAAACATCCATCATTTGTGCAGGGAAAGCATCAATTCCAGTGCTGGGTGCCCACTTGCTGTAGTCCCTCCAGCAGCAGATTGGGCCTCACTGCACACTGCAGTTCCTCCTGGGCAAAGCAGAGGCAGGGGACTTGTTGAACAGCAAGCTGAGCGATAGCTGCCAAAAGGAGTGCAGGAAACAGCTGGGAAAGAAAGCAGCAGTGCAGACTGCAGGGTGAGCAGGAGAACAAATTAATTAATTGCGATGCAGCTACAAAGCAACACTTCCATATCCGAGAGGGGCAGCAGAGCGACGAGGAGGCAGATGGCCCAGAGGCAATCCCAACCAGCCAGAGCAGGCCCAGACTATGCACTGTGCCCATTTCTTACAGTCGTGAGGAGGAAACAGTCCTGAACCCTCCCTGGTGCTCTTGTGCAGCCAAGCAGCCTCGTGCTTCTCAGAATGGTTCTGCTCCAAAAGTGTACGGGTCCTGTGATTCATTAATGTCCAATTCTCTCATCGTAATGGGGGAGCAGAGAAACTTAATGAAATCATTAACAGGCATTAGAAGTCTGTGTTTTGTTCTGCAAACCTGAAAGAATAATCAGTATTAATGTTATTTAAAATGTACATTTTTTTCAACTTTTTAATATGCTGTTAAGTGCCTCAAGTCCTTAGGAGCCCCATACACTGGGAGCTTGGGTTATGCAGTCTGTTCCACTGGCAAAGCAGCTCATCCAGTGGGGGGATTCAATTGCTGGGCTCTTCTGAGCCAGATGAGATCTGCAGTGCTTCACAAATACCTGCTGGAGTCTGTGGGCTTTCAGGAATCTGTGAGTGGAAAAGACAGGGCAGCAACCAGAAGGAAACCTTATTTAAGAAAAAAACACGCAGGAAGAATGAGTCTTAAAACATTTCAGGTCTATTAACATGAAGGCTTCTACTCACCAGATGGCCATCTGGAAATGCTGCATATTACTGGATGGCACAGTGGGTTATCAGCTCAGGTACAAAATCTCTATGCCCAGTTAATCACAAATCAAGAAAACAAGAGGTACACTCAACTTTAATGAACTAATTGCAAGTTACATGTATGAGTGGAACAGAGGGAAAACAGCTATGAAAAGGATGCAAACACAGCCCTGGGTACAGAGCAGCTGTCAGTCCTGCAGGCTCTGGCTGGACCCACACAATGCTGCTCTTCTCTCCCCATTGCAAGGAGTGCCTCCTCCTGCAATGTACTGTTTTGTTTTGATGTAGCATTAAATCCTCCCCAAACTGCTCAGCACATGGAGACAAGAGCCTGGCCATGCCCGGGGGTTTTGGCATCTCCTGCTGAGAACCCAGAGGTGCCCCTGCAGCCAAGGCATGGAGATGCTGCAGCCATTCCATCGGCACCAACCCATCCCAGTGCCCACACAGCCCAGGGCACAGCTCCAGCACAAGCACAGCTCTTCCCAGGTGCTGCACAGCTCCAAGGCTATACACGGTCCCTAAAAAGCCCCTTTCAAAATGATGGCAAAATGCCTGAAAGGAACAATAGGAAGTGCAAAGCCATTAATATACACGCTGAATTATTGATCACGGTAAATAAATTCACAGGAAAAAAAAAGTCTGATTTTTTCCAAATTTAACGTGCACAGAAAGACACCGTGGCACTCACTGCTGGTGCTTCTCTCGCAGCAGCACAGATCCTTTCTCAAAGTTCAAAACACGGTTGTGCACTGGGTTCTTGGAGTATTGTCAGCCCTGGTGTTCTTACAGCGCCGAGCAGAAAACCTCTGTGTCGCCACTGTGGTCACTGAGCAGTTGCCAGGGGAGGCGGCTATTTCTGTACAGGCTGAGAATGGGGCAGGAGAACTTTCTCAGCAGAAAAGGCAGACTTTCACGCAGCAGTGTGTAAATCCCAACCGCGCGGCTGCAATCCTAAATTATCAAAAGGCCCCTTTCTTCCAGAGGGCTGGCAGTGAGAGGCGATGTGGACCCGCATGCACCACGTGTGTGCACACGCTGCATGCACACCTCCTTAACAGAGCAGTTTGTATTTTTCTGACAGCAGTTGGCCTGTCTGGGTGTTTTGTGGCAGTGTCCCCAGCCCTCGTGTCTGGGTTTTCCCTGAGGACTTTGGTGAGATGGCTCTGGTGTTCAGGGTGCGTTTTGGCCACCACGGAGCCAGCTGGGATTTCTGCAGGGGATCCTTGCGAAGTGAAGGGATGGATGGACACATGGACACACTCAGTGCCCAAATCCCCTCCCAACATGGAGCAATTCCATGGCCTGCAGCACATCCTTGCTACCACGCTATTTCAACACCGAGGCAAGAGTTGACTGCATGCAGCACACTGCTATTTACATTACATGCCATACATTAATAACAAAAGAAAACAAAAACATCATATCCAAGGGAAGTTTCACTGTGGCAGACAAAAGAAGGCAAGGCCAGGGGCTCCTGTGGCCAGCATGCTCCAGCCTGGCCCTCATCACTACACCATGGGGAGACCTGTGCTTAGCAGTGCAATGGGCCCCAGCAGACAAAGCGAGGGCATGCTCTTGGTGTTTGTGCAGCCTGAAGCCAGCAAGGAGAGCTGATGCTGTACTGCAGTGGGATGGATGATACACAGGCTGCTTCTGACAAGGGAATAGGCCGGAGGAGTAGGCTGGGGCCTTAGGCTGGCCAAACTGTGCTGCTCACTGCATTTGCTCAGTTCTACCTAATGGGACTTCAGACCACGGTTTCCTATACCTCCGAATGCAGTGCTAACTGCTTGGCATCGATGTCACTGACTGCACATCTCAGCCCCTTCTCCCTCCCTTGTACCCACTGAGCAAACCTCCAGCTGTGCTCAACGCTCACTGAACTGAACCCAGTGGCAGGAGGTTTCTCGCTGCCTGCGGAGCCTCTTCCTAAAAGCACATTAACGTTTAAACCACTAACAGCAGGGAAGTCTGGAATGGAAGACAGCAGAAACACAGCCTCAACATAAAGATGCTAGTAAATGAAAACACCGCAACACTTGCACTTTCCTGCAGCCAGGCCGAGTGCACTTGCTGTGCTCAGCACGGCCCGTCCCATGCCCCAGCACCAGCTTCATACACGTGAACACACACACAACTTCACAGGCATGCAGAGTTAACTAAGCAGTGGCCTCCAGAGTCCTCTTGCTCCCCTCCTCAGGCCAAAGTAGCTTGGAATCACCCTAATCTGGGGGCATCATCACCCTCACAGAAAACTGTTGTGTTTATTCTGTTCCAGAGCCATCTCGTTGACCAGCTGCTCTATGGATGACTGGATGGCCGCCTTCACAAGGGAAGACGCCGTTTCTATGAGGAGCAACTCGTACTGATCTGAAGTCCTGTGCTCCTGCTCGCCCAGACCTTTCTCTTCCACCACAGCATCACTGCCAGCCCCAGGGCCTTCTTTTTGACCAAAATCAAAGCTCCCACTGGATTTTTTATTCCCTTTTTGCTTCTTGTGGTGTAAAACCGGGGATGGCTCATAGGCCTGGTCAGAATCGGTGTCGTCAGAGTCCACGGCTTCAGTGATGGTGATGACGATACCAACGCTGGTGCCCACGTTGACTTCAGGTTTCTCCTGATGGCTGGAGCTGCTCTGCACACTCATTGCATCATCCTTAGACACCGATGGACTGAAATCCATCGTGGTCTCCTCAGATTTGCACTCCCTGGGGAGATCAGTGTTCCTCTCTGACTCATCCCTTTCAGGAAGCTCCTTGCAGATCGTGGCTATTTCCTGCACCTCGGTGATTTCAGGGGTGCCATTGGGTTGATCTGTGGAAACCGGCGCTTCAGGAGTGACTTCCCTCTCTTCCACTTGGGCCGCAGATTGACTCCCCTCAGGCAGCTTTTCCTGCACAGGTTCACTGACAGGCTCCAAAATGGTTATTTCTGACTGAGTGATGCACTCTGCGTGTTCATCCACTTCTGGTCTGGCCTCTCCCGAGGGCTCACTCCTCCCATTGGCATCGGCACCTTCTGCTGATACGCCCTGGTCCTCTGCAGGCAGCGGGCTTAGGGCTTCAGCCTTGTCACAGGGCTCTGCTGCGGCCATGTCCTCTGCAGGCTGCAGGCTTAGGGCTACAGCACTGCCACAGGGCTCTGCTGGGGCCACATCTTCTGCAGAGAGTGGGCTGAGGGACTCAGCCTTGTCACAGGGCTCTGCTGTGGCCGAGTTTTGTGCAGGGAGCAGGCTAAGGGATTTGGCCTTGTCACAGGGCTCTGCTGGGGCCATGTCCTCTGCAGAGAGTGGGCTGAGGGACTCAGCTTTGTCACAGGGCTCTGCTTGGGCCGAATTTTGTGCAGGGAGCAGGCTATGGGATTGGGCCTTGTCGCAGGGCTCTGCTGGGGCCATGTCCTCTGCAAGGAGGGGGCTGACGGACTCAGCCTTGTTGCAGGGCTCTGCTGGGGCCATGTCCTCTGCAAGGAGGGGGCTGACGGACTCAGCCTTGTTGCAGGGCTCTGCTGGGGCCATGTCCTCTGCAAGGAGAGGGATGATGGACTCAGCCTTGTCGCAGGGCTCTGCTGGGGCCATGTCCTCTGCAGGGAGCGGACTGAGGGACTCAGCCTTGTTGCAGGGCTCTGCTGGGGCCATGTCCTCCAGCTCTTCAATGGCTTTATTCAAAATGCCCATCACTTCGTTTGCTTGAATGCTGTCCTCTGACTCCTCCACCACCTCTGAGGGGCTGGGCTTTTTCTTGCCTCTCAAGAAGCGCACACAGGGCATCTTCACCCCTGTGCTGGCCTTTTTCCTTGGAAGACCTTGTGCACAGCTCTCCTCTGCATCCGTCTCTAGCTGCACCTGGGAATCGGAAGACACCTTCTTCCGTGAAGAGGATTTCTGCCCTCTCCGAGGTTTTGTGAGACTTTTGATAGCTGCCCAAGCTCCTCTGGAGGGTGGCAATCGAGCAGAAGCTTTTGCCTCCCCTGGGTCTGTGCTGATGCATTGATTTTTCTCCTCCGAGGCTCCAGAAGCTCCCTCACATGCATCCTTAGCTGTCAGCCCCTTCTTACAGGACTTCTTCCGCTTCTTAAAACAGAGCATGGAGGGTTTTTCTGCCTGTTCTTCCAATGGGGGACATGGTGTCCCCGCGCTAGGAGTCTCCAGCTCGCTCGGGTTCTCCATTTGTATCTCCTTAGCAGCCTTTGCCATATTTGCACCTCTCCTTCGTCTGTGTATTGACTTTCTTGATTAATGCATAAAAGCTGCAGAAACGCTCAAATGGCTTTTTCCCCAAATTGTCCTCAAAACAGCAGTAGTTGCTTCTTAACAAGCAGGTGTGGCAATGTGCAGAGCTGTTCCAATGAAGCTATTGCATTCACTTTATAATTCCCATTGCATCTTCTTACTCTCCTTATTGCCTCCCCAAGGAGTCCTAGGCAGACTTGAAGAACCAGTCACTCTCACCTGTGAGATACCCCACTTCAGGTCGTGCTCCTCTAACAGTACACCATTGAATGGACAGTCCGACCTTGGTTTTACTCCCCCAAAGGATGACAAGTCAAGCCAAGAGTTAACAACTTTTATTCAGCCCATGGACAGTTCGACGGGAGCAAGGAACTTGCTTGAAGCAACGTGGAGGCAGTGAGTGGAGGTGTTCTGCCCCCCAGTGCCAATCAGCTGCTGCTGTGCCTTGGATTCTGATCAGCTCCTGACACGGGTTGAGTGAAGTTTGCCTCTGATTGTGCTTGATTCTCCCAGCTCTGACCTGCAACACAATGAACAAGTGGTAAGAAGCGCAGAGCAAAAATCAAAGGATTGAGAAGTAATTCTGAGCAGAGTATTTCAGCCTGGGATGCAGACAAGGGACAGAAAAGCAATTCTACCTCCGGATACCAATATCCAAAGGCAAAATACAGCCACTATTATGCCAACTTAGTGCTGTTCCAACACAGAAAACACTACTTTGCATGGCAGAAGTGGCTGTATTTTTTTCTAATTGCTCATATTATGACAAATCTATATTACTCACACAAGCATATATTTCCTGCTCCTACACTTGGCTCCACCTTCCCCCTCCACTTTCTTCTCACACTTTGCAGCCCGGGAAATCACACCCCGAGACCGCCGATATTTTTATTTTTTAATGCACCAGCTGACAATATGCAAAACGCCGAATACAAGAGGAGGAATACAAAAGCGAAATCACACGGCAAGAAGGAAGCACATCTACGTTACATGCACGCCTCCCATGGCAACCTCAATTAACAGCACACGCGTCCATCAGCGCTGTCACCCTTGCAAAAATCAAAGGCACAAAGGGAACGTTTGGGAAAGGAAGGAGCGCGCTGCAGCCCAACTTCTCGCGGCCGTCCGGCGCTTCCCGGAGCTCTCCGGGCGCAGCAGAGCCGCGTGGCGGCGCCGTCCGGCTCGGGGCTGCAGCTGCCGCTCCCGGGGGCGCTGGAGGCTCCGAGGCTCCGCGCTACCGGAGGGGCTGCAGCCCGCAGCGCACGTTGCGTTCCGTTCGCTGCTTCTGAAGCGGAAAATGCGCTCGGCGGCCACGTGGGAAAGACGAAGCCCGGCGCCCCGAGCGCACCCCAGCTCTGGAGCCCGCGTCCCGACGAGTCTGGGGGCGCTTCGTGGGCATCGGCACGGAGACCGCGAGCCGCCGAGCGCCGCCGCTCCTCCCGCCCGCAGCCCCCCAGAAGAGACGCGCGGGCTCCCGAACTCGGGGTGCCGCCCCCTTCCAATCCTCCCCTCTTCCGTGTCCCCGCTCCCCATCCCCGCGGGTCCCCTCGGCACCTCACCTGCGGCGCGGCCCGAACGCGGCTCTGCGCGGCCCCTGCGCGGCTGCGCTGCCGCCGCCTCCCGCCGCAGCCGCGCCCCCCGGGCCGGCGGGGAGGGCGCTGCCGGCAGCCCCCCGCCTCCCGCCCCCCGGCCGCGCAGCCCCTCCGCTCACGCAGCATCCCCGCGGCAGAGCGGCGGCCCTCCCCACCCCCGCTCGGCATCCTGCCCCGTTTGCGGAGCACCGTCCCTCGCCACCATCCTTCCCCGCGCAGGGCGCGCGGCAGCAGCAGCAGATGCACAACGGGCGAAGTCAAGAGGATCCTCCCGAAGGCTGAGCCGCGGTTCGCGGCTTGAATGCCTGCTGCGAGCGGAAACGCAGCCGGGAGGAAGAGACGGCGGGGATCCGCGGATCAGGTACAGCGTGCGATGGGAGTTCTGCTCCTGGCAGCGGTTTTTCTGCCTCCTGAAACCTGTCTCTGCACGTCACTGCAGGAGCCGCAGCTTTACTGCGGGGTTAAGGGCAGCCGGGGCCCGAATTTAAGCAAAACCTCAGCCGAAACACCTGACAAGGCGCCTCAGTCATAGGGGTCTTTCTTTCCTTCACATTTGCCAAAATCTGACTTTAAAATTGCATGCATAGCTGTTAGGATTGATGGGAGAGCCTCCGGGAAATGACTACAGGTGCTGCTGAAGAACCACATGAAGCCATGGTTGGAGCTGCCTCGACGTCCCCATTCATACCAACGGGGAGCTCAGTGACGCACACTCACGTCGTAAGGATATTAATTGCTTCGCAGCGTGTTGGCACATTGCAATGCAGGCCATGGAGCATACAAGTGGCTTCCAGTGGAGGCCATCCTTAAAAGAATACACGCGGCCTCCTCCCTCCCTAAAAAGGGGAGAAATTGTGTTCTTTTGGCTGAAATCTCAGCCTAGAGACAGAAGCACACATCAGGCAACCACAAGGCACCGTCATTTTAAAAGCTCCCTAACGAGACGTGTTTGCTGGCATTCATTCGTTATAATAACTTGCATTTGGAAACTGCTCCTCTCTGGAGGGTAGGCAGCGGGTTCTAATTAGGGTACAGTTCTCCATGAGAGCTAAGCACAGGCCATCAGCATGAGGCCATTTCCCCTCATTTCAGGTAGAGAGGGGATGCAGGCAGCAGTAACGTGCGCTACCTCCAGCGTCAGCTCCAACCCGTCCCTCTGAAATCACCTTGCACAGAACTCAATTATTCCGTTGCTCCATGGGAGGACAGTAACAGCAAGGAGTATGGCACACAGGAGATAGATAACGGGGTAGAAGGTGGATAAGATTGAAAAAACCTGTATTGTTTCCTAGCAGTGTGATGTGTGGCTCTCATTACGGCACAGCTCAGGGAATGGCCATCACAGCAGCCGAGGATCTGGGCTCACATGTCGCCCACAGAGAACGTACCTGCACTTAATTGATTTTTTGCTCCAGGCAACAGGAAGGGAAGACAACCTTCCAGTTGTCATCTAGAAGAGATCAAGCATTCTTTGTGTCCTAGGTGATGGGTCAAGTACGGGACTGCCAAATGAGCTAAGAAACCAACAACCCACCAAACCTATTGATGAATCAGCGCTGCAAGTAGGGACAGTGGGAATACACTTCCCACAACACTTGAAGCACATTGTAGAAAAGCATTTGCCACTCATCTCTGAAGATGCTTGGGGCTATTTTTTCACTATTTGCTGCCGGCCCTTAGGCTCTGCTGTCAGCAGCCCCCCACCGTTCAGCAAATTCACATCTGGTTTCTGTGGCTGTGCCATGGTGTTGCCTCACTGCATGCTGTGGACTAGTGACCTCCTGAACCGTCTTCCCTCAACTGCATGTCTACAATCTCATGCTTAACTAAAAGGAGGCTAATCTTAGCATAAATTATCACTTATCCCATCTTTCATAAGCATAAAATGAAGATGGAACACAGAGCGCTTGCAGGAAAGCAGCACAACAGGGAAGCCTCTGCAAGATGAGAGAATGAGGATTAAATGCAGGAACCGACAGCAGCCTTGGCAGCATCAGCTGTAGCAATCTGCTGCAAGGAAAGGCTCCGCCAAGGTGCTGCAGGTGGACTTCCAGCCAGGCCTCCGTGGTGGTGCAGCAACAGGGGACGCTGTTCCTGACCCCATGCAGGTGGCCTTTTTGTGCTCTGTGAAAGCTGTCTCCAGCAACTTCTCAGCCAAATACCATCGAGAAGAAAATCTGAGGAGGCTGTGAGCATATCTCAAGTGTGCTTACGACAATTTAAATTATTCTGTCTTTGCTTCTGTGACAACTAGGTAATTTTTATATAATTATTCTCCCCTACTGAATAACTTGCTCTCTCTATACTTAGTATCTGTATACTACAGATGCATCCTTACACTGGTGCACACCTACACCACAACTCTCCCAGTTCTCACCAAAATCAGAATGCTTTCAGATTCAGTTTGGATGCAAGCAGATGGGCCTTGCAAGTCTATGAAGAAAGGAGAAGCCAAAAATATTCAGCTGTGAGCAGGGCAGTCAAACTTAATAAAGCTAGCATCTTAATTCAGATCTTCTGCAGTCAACTGCAAGTAAACTCAATCCACTGAATAATTCAGGCAGTTTATTTCCTATAGATGACACATGCCATCCAGGAAAGGAAACAAGACAGAACACACACACGGTGGTGCATTGCAGGCAACTTATTCCTGCAGTGATCACTTATAGTTGTCAATACTGGGACTGCTGCATTACTCAGTTAATCACAGAAATAAGTTCTACTTCATTAATCTCAGCACGTACATTAAGACCCAAAAAGCATTTGAAGTTTTTACCCTTTATTTGTATTAGTTAAAAATTTGGCAGAAACTCTATTTCTGTTACAAAATGATTTCTGGCCTGTTGACAAAGCCTACTACAAATGACTCAATCACTGCTCACGTGGCTTCTGTTCACCCAAAAGGTACCATAGAAAACAAGGCTTCTCAATGGCCTAACTGTACTTATTGCTGAGCAAAACATGGTTCAAAGGACACTTCTGGCAGAAGCCATGGGCACAGCCCAGAGAGGTCTCAACAGACCCGACACTCAGAAGTTCTGTTTCCAGTGGTAAGAATTACAGCAGTCACAGCTGGGCTTTCTAAAAGAGAAATCTGGCATGGCTCAGGTGTCTGCAGGGGTAACTCACAGCAGAAGCCAGGGTGAGCACTCCTGCTAAGAAATGACAAAAGGATTCTTCCTTGTTCCCTCTTTTAAAAGAAACTGGTGTGATTTCAAAGCACAGCAAATACACAATTCAGGATGACAAGTAGGAATATTATAATAGCATGTGAGACCTCCCAAGATAATCCATGCCTACTGTTAAGGCAGCCAGGTCCCAAGACTGTTTCAAACAGCTCCATCTGTAGGGTTTTTAATTACTAAAATCTCACCGAATCAAGGTGAGATCGTATAAATGTATCTTTTCTCCTTTGTGTGCTCACTGTCTTAGTTAAAGTTTGTCCTTTAGCTGGCTGGACTTGATGATCCTGAAAGTCTTTTCCAACTGAAATGATTCTGTGGTTCTAAGAGATCACTAAACCCAAGCTTCTGTATTTTGCTCGAGCTACAGTTATGAAGCAGGAAGGTTGTACAGGAAATATACTTTATATACTTAGTTTCAACTAGCTTGGAAAACAGTACTTTAAGAATTATTACTGATTAAAAATAAGTGTTCTATCCTTTAGCACTCTTCTTTTCACTTCTTGCACTGTATTCTCAGTCATATCTTGTTTTGACTTCAAAAAAGATCAGTGAATAGTTTCATTTACATGACTCATCAGGTGTTCTTCTGGGAGCTAAAAAGAAAAATAAATTTAATTACTATTAAACAGCACTGAAGGCAACTTTCAGGCTGAAATATATAATCATGTTATTTGGAAACACATGGCATAATATGAAATTGGCTTAGTTCCATTATCTCAAATTGAGAAATCAAGCTCAAATATTGAAAGCTAATTTATATTGAAATTCTAACCTGAAGGTGACACCTAGCTTTGGTCACAAATTCTTTTCAGAAGAGCCCGTTCACTTCTCCTGTCACTGTGTCCAAGTCGATATCATAAAAGCTGGGTCTTGTAGGAAGTCCTGGCATAGTGCTCATCTGGGTAACAAAAAAGATAAACCATTAAGATGGAAGCAGCATAAATGAACAGAAGATATAACACTTATTCTGTGCTGGGAACCGTGTTAGCAACAGCCCATGCAGCACCTCAGTTATGAGCATACCAGCTGGGGGGTGGTCAGACACCATTCTGAAGTGTATCACAAGAACCAGGAACTCCTAATTTAGCAGACTGACCAGTTCTGCCCAAGCTGTAACGAGCACTCAAGCACCAAGCTGATGGATCAGCTGTTACATGAGAGCTGCTGCAGGGAGACACGAACTGCTTGTGGCAGCTTCCTGGCTCCCGAAACGAGGATGCACGTTTAAATACAGCTTTGCTGATTGCAAAGTCCCAGTTGATTAAAACTCCCTAAAATTTTTGAACTGTTATAATTAGGAATAATTATTGTTGACATGAGAGGTTTTAAAACAAACAGACAAGCCCTCCCCCCCAAAAAAACCCTATTATGTATGAATATTTTGCTTTCATGAGCAATACAGAAACAGAAATGGTGAGGTCTGTTTTCCTGACTGGGCCATTCTGTGGCACACAAGTCAGAATGGCTGTGCAGCAGGAGGACTGAAGGTAGCAGAACAGCTGCCTATTCTGCACCTGCCTCAGGCCAGGCCTTTCAAGTCATCCCCACTGCTGAAACCCACTTTCAGAGCTGCAAAAAGCAAAGCCAGCAGGGACTACACTTGGCCTGATTTACTAATGCAGATGACAACTTGGTTCCATAACTCAGCATTTAGCCCAGCAGCACACGTAGATTAACATGGATGCTTTATGAAGGTGGACAACTTGTGACCAGGCTTGACAGCTTTTGTCAGTGGTCATTTACCCCATAAACAAAAATTCAGTGTTTCACTTCACATCTACATCACCCAGCCTTGTCTTTCACAACCAGTAATTCTTATGCCTGTCTCCACTAGATTAAAGACCTCCTTAGAAACCTGGTATTTTCTCCCTGCATATGTATTTTGCACACTAATCAAATCTGGGTAATAAGCTCAGCAGCAAGGTTAAGCATTTGCTGCAGTTCTCAAAACTGTTCTGGGAGCTTTTGGAATCCCACCTCATTTTCTTAAGCTATTACAAGTGCTAACTGCAGTCCCACATGTACCATACCACTGCAAGAAGTACGTGCTTTGTAAGAGGTAAAAGTCACTTCAATCATACCCTTTGTAATGACTGCTACATCTGCACCAGCTTTTTGTCATAGCTGCTGCTTTCCAGGACAGGGAAGAGCAGACCTCAGATATGGCTCTCATTCCTTTTGTCTTTATGTATGAATATTTTTTGCTTTCGTGAGCAAAGTATTACAAGATCTGAAGCATCTGGAAGCGTTTTTCAGTTCTCACCACAGTCCCTGCCACTGTTGTGCAGCACAAGAAAGCACCTCTTTATGTATCTCTGGAGAATCGCAGAGCTTTGTGGGTCTCCACCTACACGTCCAGAGGGCCACAGCAAGAGCTGAGAGCGACAGTCAGGACAGCAGGAGTTGCTGTGCTGATGAATACAGGCCTGATGCAACCCTTCTTGCCATTGGTGTTTTGAAAGGATTGGTCAGTTTTCCTGCTCTCCTTCCCATAGGGCAGCCCACAGAGGCTACTCTGTTATCTATTACCTAAAAGCAAACTATGTGCTGAATTTTTATGTGCTACAGGGTTGGTTTCCTTTCAGGCTATGAATTTTCTGCACAAATGTCCACGATGCTTAATGCACTCAATTATTTTCAGAGCTAGGGAAACGAAGCTCCTCCTCCTCTCTTTCATTCACATGCTGGAAAAGAATGCAGAGCAATTCTCACTATTTGCATGAAAAAATTAGACCACTCAGATTATCAGTTCCCCTACAAAGTTTAAATAAAACCAATACCAACTAGAACATATTATTTATAGCATTTGCACAACTTCCAGAAGAAATGCCATGTAAGACATTGAAAGAGACGAATCAATAATTTGTTTTCAGTTCTCCAGTGGCACAATATAAGAAATCCAACCAGTTTGAGTTCAAACTGTCTGCTTCATTTTCATTACCATTTCACGCTCAAAGTTTAATCTAGACGATCCTTGTATTTCCTTTTATATCTCAAAGTATTTCATTCAAGTACAACAGCTTCAACTCCAAGCCAGAAAGGAAAAAACCCCAAACTCAGAGGCTGAGAAAAGTGAAGTGTGACATACCTTCTCAATTAACTTCAGATAACAAGATTAACACACTGGTGATTAGTTTCACCTCAAATGTCACACAACTGCAGAGAGCTGCATGTTTGCTGTGCTTTCAGCTTCAGTTCAATGGCTGCCCAAAAATTACTCTGAGGCTAGCACATATCCTCTTGAATGGGTTGAAAATGATGATCTGATTCAAAATGGGCTGCTTCTTAAAAGGACATCCCTTTCCTGGCCTAGTAGGCACCACAGAAGAGAGACCTTCATGTCCCCACTTGGAGGGTTTACTGTTAATTCCAGCAAGGTTAACATCATGATTAACTGCATGCCCAAGTAAACGTTACAGATCTGTGAAAGGAGCAGGAAGGAAACTCCAGCTTCATAGAAAGTGAAGACATTAAAAAAGAGACAAAACTTCAGCTTTAATGTCTGTAATCATCTTTTGTCTGTCTCATTACTTCTGTGTACTCTTTCCTTCTGCAGTACTTAAAAAAAATATATTAAAAATGATCACTGTTTGGATTAAATCTTAGCTTGCAAAAAAGTCACAAACAGGAATGAGCACGCTGTCTTTCACTGCATCCCAGAACACACAGCACTCTTTGAAAAGAAGGATGCGCCAGACTTCAACCAGGATGTGGTTATTTTATTTTTGTTGGGGTAATCTGGAAACCCTTACCTGGCTCTCTGAGGGCTAGCGTTTGAAGGAGGAAAGGAAACAACTCTTAAATCAACAAATTCCAGCATCTCAACCATATGACACTAACAGTTTTGAAAGACAGATTATTAAGACAAACACTGCCATGAAGGCTTCAGTAAAAAAAAAGGTGGAGACCCAAAAATAGTGAGAAAGACAGAACTGCTTGCTCCAACTGCTCCATCTCCTGCAATAACCTAAGAAGTTACTTAACATTTTCCCAGAATAGATTCCTCAGATAAGATTTCCAGTGGAGCCTTTCATCCTAACATTCTTTCTTTAGAGACAAAGCTGAACATTAGTTCAGTTTGCAGGTAGCTCCTCTTTCTGCCAGCCCATTCATATCAAAGCTATGCCAGAATCCTGCTTCCATTGTAGCTACTCTGTTAGTTCTCAGTTGATGTGACAATCATCTCAATAGAAAATAAGAACTCAAGGGCACAGTGAAATAAATTGTTGGAATTGATGCAGTCCAAACAGCAAACAGATGATCACCAAAACGATGAGAAAATAATAGAAAGGGAGACTGACAAAAAATAAACAGTACAGATCAGCTTTGCTTTGAAGCTGTCTCATCAAAAGTTATTTGCTTTGAAAGCTGTGGAAAAGTTTAGTTCTACGCTATCTGCTGCAATACTGCAAAGTGCATCAGGAATTCCAAGTCCCAGGGGCATCAGGCAGGCCCCTCTGTCAGCCTGCTGTTCCCACAATTCATTATGTGCAGAGTTCTCCCTTTTCCTGCATTCCAAGAAGACTGAGATGTGGCACATGGAGAGTACACCGGGGGCTTGCTAAATGTTCAAATGCTCACATGCTTTATTTTAGCTCCCCTCTTCCACCTGAAAAAGACTTACAAAGGGCATCTAATGCACTGGACAACTAACACTTCATTTACAGATGATAAGAGCTCTTCTCATTGGAGACACCTTTCATAACTGGCTGTACATGGAGTGCTATTCTCACCCCACAGCTGAGGGTTTCACTCACTCACTCACCGTTCCAACCAGTGGGTACAGGAACCCAGCACCAACACTGGCCCGAATGTCTCGGATTGGCAGAATAAAGCCTGTGGGTGCTCCTTTCTGTTCAGGGTCGTGAGACAATGATAAGTGAGTTTTAGCCATGCAGATTGGCAGGTTTCCAAAGCCCTGGGCATGACAATGAAAAAGAAAAGAGAAAGAGGACAGAAGTGAAAAAACAGTAACCATTCCTGTATGCAAAAATTACAGCCCTATTTTACCTCCATGCATTATCCTCAGTGTTACCAGGTAATTTTAA